CCAAAATAACAGTTTATCCCTTTCTACTCATACATATTTCATACCTAGGAGGAGAAAGGGCACCAACAATGAAGTAGACTACTGACAGGTATGTCCAAGAAAGCTTTCCCCTAAAGCAGAAGGAAAACTTGTACTCCAAAGTGTTGATAGTATGACTCTTCTGAGGCATAGCATGGCTGGCATTTAAGGTACCTCTGAGAAAATCAGGGGCAAAAAACTGCTATGTAGGCCTGAAAAGATACACCTTGCAGCATGGGGCAGGAAGCACACAGTGAAGATATAAGCTCCATTGTTAAGATTTGAAAAAGTATCCTCAAAGGTAAGATGATCAAATGCATGTTTCTTGTAGCTCTTTTTTTCCCTCCCCAACACAGCAGAGCTTTTCAAAGGGTATCTCCCATGCAACTAGGATCATGAGAGATAAAAGTCATGAACACATGTACTGGTGAAATATACTGTATTTCCTGTCAGAAGGCTAAGGCTCCTAACATGGCTCTTGACACGGTTTGAAATAGCTCGTTCTGCTGACTATGGAACAAGGGTAGATCTTTGATCTTGTTTCACTTATAAAACAATTCTTATACTTGCACGGACACATTAAAATGTTTCAAAATCTTTTCAGTGAAGTTTTAGTATTAAGGTTTAAAACTAAGAAAGCAAAAGTCTTTTCTATTTACTCATATATTTGCCATTTCTGGCAATCCTCATTACTTTGTGACATTCGAATGCCTATATAGCATCATTTTCCTTCTCCAAAAAAGAACTTTTAACATTTCCTATGTAGCATATACAGTCTGCTGGTCATGACTTCCCTCAGATTTTGTCTGGAAATTTTTATTTTGCATCCATTACCTGAAAGTTATTTTTGCTAGGTAGACAACTCAAGGTTGACACTTATTTTATTTCCAACTTTATGCTTTTCTCTTTGTCACTGCTTTTCATGAAATGTATTATGATGTGCCTTAAAGTGGTTTCTTTTAGGTTTCTTTTGCTTGGAGCTCTTGGATCTGTAGGATTATAGTTTTACCAGATCTGAAATTTTTTCAACCATTACTTCTTCAGATATTTTTTCCTGTTACCATTCTCTATCTATTGCTTCAAGGACTCCAATTACACATAAGTAAAGCCAACTGATATTGTCTCTCACACCACTGGTGCTCTGTTCATTGTCCTAGTCTTTTTTCTATACATTTTAGATACATTCTATTGTTTTATCTTCCAGTTCATTAATATTTTCTTCTCTACTCTCCAATCTCCTGGTAATTCCATTCAGTGTTTTTCATTTCAGATATTGTATTCCTCATCCACCAAAGTCCAATTTGGGTTTTCTTTTTATATTTTCCATTTCTCTTACCACCATGTTCAAATTTCTTCCACATTCTTGAACACATGGGATACATTTATAATAGCTGTTTTAATGTTCTTGCTGCTATTTCCATTATATCTTATCATTTCTGGGTCTCTTTAAATTGACTGATTTTTCTTTGAGTTATGAGTTACTATTTTCTCCTGTTCTTTTTCCCCCCCATCAGGTAATGGACAATGTAAATTTCATACTCTTAGGTGATATTGTGGGTTCAGTTCCAAATCACCACAATAAAGCAAGTATCACAATAAAGCAAGCTGTAATCTTTGCTGGTGGAGGATCTTGCCTTCAATTTATAAAAGAATACAAAATCTGTGAAGCACAATAAAGTCAAGCACAATAAAATAAGGTATGTCTGTGTTCTTTTACATTTTACTGAATTTTGTTCTAAAATTAGTTTCATCTGTTTCCAAGGTAGGTGCAGAGAAGCCTTTAGTCTAAGGTGAGATATCCTTTTAGAAAATCTATCCAATGCCTTGTGAGTTCTTTCCACTGTGGCTTGTAGGAACAAATTTTCTGTGAGTTCCAGAAATTACTTCACCAAATGCTTTCTAGCACTTAATCTCCAGCTATGAAAATTTTCTTACACATGTGTGTAATTCAGTATTCAACCAAGAAAGCCTCATGGTAAATCCTACAGGATCTCTGAGTGCTCTCTGTGTGCAGTTACAGACATTCTGGCACTCTGCCTCACACAATGTAGCTACCTTGGGCTCCCTAAACCCCAATCTCCTCTACTCTGCAGAAAAACTAAGCTCTGTCTGGCCTCCTGTTTTCTGTTGCCTGCAAAATGCTTCTAGACAATAAGCTGCGGATAATTTCAGGGCTTGCCTCACTGGTTTCAGTGAAAATTTCTCAGTGATAACAATACTATGCTACCTATTGTTCAGTAACTGAAACTGTGTCAAATATTTTGTCCAGTTTCCAAGTTGTTTAACTCAGGAAGGAAAACTCAGTCTTTGCTACTTTATCATGGCCAGGATTTTGAGGAGATAAATGTAAAAAAAAAATGTATTATCTTCGATTTTGTTTATAAGATCAACTCACTGATCGCAGAAAATAGAAGTCAGTATCTGAATTTTAACAAACCACTATCTACTTAATGGAGAGGACTATAAAAGGAATATAATGATGAAGCCAGCAACACACTTCTACATGAGTTTCATGTGTACAAATATTATAACCAAGTAGTATAATGAACTGATCCAAAAATCAGACCTAACAATAGCAATACCACAAAGGACTAATCTGAAATTAAGAAATGCTTTTATTAAGTATAAATTATTTTAAATCAAATTAAAAATACTCAAATGGAAAAAAGGAAGTAAAACTTCCATGCTGTACGGTAAATGGGAACATGGGCCCCTTCCCATGCTCCAACTTCCCCTCCCACCTTGTAGGAAATACAGTGAAGGCCATAAGTAAGCACACACTATGAGACCTTGGGAGCCTAGCCAGCTCCTCAGTCAAGAAAAGAGCTAGTGTTTTGATTTCACACAGCCTGTCCCCCTTGCCCTGCATGCCCTGCATTTCTCTGTTTTCTGTTCTCTACAAAACCTTGTGCTGGGAATGTCTGGGTGGCGGCGAAACAATACCACAGGCCGGCTGCCCCCCGTGTGGCCAGTCTGTAGGCCAGATGGGACTTAGCGGTTCAACTTCACCGGTGGCAGCTGGTGCAGTGGGAAAACTTCACCAGCTGGCCACCCCCAGTGCACACGTAAGTCCTAATAAACCCATGTCTTTCACAGCAAGTTCTCCAGATTATTTCTTTGGAATCAGCAGCATTATGCTGAGGTTTTCCCAAACCTTGGCACTCTGCCTAGCACATGCAGGCAAAGATCAGTTCAAATAATGAGTAAGAGATAAAGCTACAAAGATGTATAACATATTCAGGGAGAAAACTATAAGTAGTTGCTGCATTTAGTGACTGAAAATGGTAGAAGATGGTAACAAAACTATAATTTGGAACCAGTTCCCAACACCACCAAATACTGGCCAGGATGTTGAGCAACATGAGCCCTTAATCACTGTTGGTGGGAATGCAAAATGGTACACACACCTTGGAAGAGTTTGGTGGTTTCTTACAAAGCTAAACATACTCTCACCATATGATCTAACAATCCTTGGTATTTAACCTGGTGAACTGAAATCTTATGTACACAAAAAATCCTGCATAGAGATGTTAAGAGCAGCTTTATTCATAACTGCCAACACTTGACAGCAACCCTTTAATAGGTTAATGGCCCCAGACAATAGAATATTAATCAGCGCTAAAAAGAAATGAGTCATCAAATTCTGAAAAGACTTCAAGAAACATTAAAGACATATTACAAAATAAAAGTCAATGTGAAAAGGCTACATGCTATATATGACAACTATTATGACATTCTGAAAAAGGCAAGACTATGGAGAAAACTAAAAGATCAGTGAGTGTCAGGGATTAAGTGTAAGGAGAAATGAAAAGGCAGAGCAGGGAGTATTTTTAGGGCAGTGAGACTATTCTGTATGATATTACAAACATACATTTTTCAAATAACACATTTGTCAAACTCATAAAATGTATAATACCAGGAGTGAACCCTAATGAAAACTACAACCTTTGGATGATGTGTGTCAATGGAGGTGCACTGATTTTAATAAATGTACCACTCTGGTGCAGGATGTTGATAGTGGGGAAGTTTAAGCATGTGTGTAGGTAGGGAGTACACGCTCTCTGCTCAATTTTACTTAACTCTAAAACTGTTCTAGCCCTGGTTGGGTAGCTCCGTTGGTCAGAGCATTGTCCTAATACGCCAAGGTTATAGGTTAGATTCCCAGTCAGGGCACATACAAGAATCAATCAATGAATGTATAAATAAGTGGAACAACAAATCAATGTTTATCTCTCTCTCTCTAACCAATAAATTAAAAAAAAAAACCAGTTCTAAACATAGTCTATTAAAAAATAAATTCTGAAAAGATGTAAAATATAAGCCAAAAAAGGAACTAGAGTAGAAGAAATCAGTTAAGAGAGGTCAATCACACTTTAGGTAAGAGACAAAGACAGGCAGTAGAAACAAAACCATTCTAAAACATTATTCAAATTTTTGCATGCACATATAGCCTCATCTACTAGACATAACCATTCCAGATCTTTCTGTATGAAGGAGGTATATTCTCCAAATTAATAATAACTACACAAACTAAGTAATGTTTTTTAACAAAATACATATGGTACCTTAAATAACTTTTCAAGTTTACAGGACAAATGAAATGAAAATTAAATAATACACAATAACCCACTTCCATGTTTTAAATAAGAACACACAGATCCCTAAAAAAAAAAAAATTTAATTTATTTCAACTAGGTCACTATAAAAATGTTTATGCTTAGTTTTCTTATACAGCATTTGAAATAACTATGAATAAATACTACATCCTTACTAAAGAAATGGTTTAACAGTTTAATGAATGTAAACTGGTTATCAGTTTGAGTAAAATCTTAACTTCCTAAGGGATCCTGGCAAACTACTTCCTCCCAGAACACACCACACATTGAAAAGTAAACACTAAACCCAGTGTGGAGAGATGTTTTTCTTTAGAATGACAACAGAAGAAAGAGTTATTTTTCTAAAAGTGGAAAAATTAGCCACACCTCTTTCTTCAGGCTTTGCAGGAAAATACTTTCTCTCTGCAGATATCAGCTCAGGCTTTGGGGCTAAGGAAAAACACAAAGTTCATACTTTTTAAAAAAAAATCGTTTTAGAGCACAAGAACAATTATACTACTAAAAAGTAAAGGTTAGTTTAAAAATAACATCAGATGAAAACATGGTTTAACAGAAAGAACAATAACAGATTAGGCTCAATTTAATGCTAAACCTGCCACTGTTAGCATGATTAAGTAATAACTGTAATCTCAGTTCCTTTGTCAAATGAAAGTGTTACGTCTGCTACACCACCACTGTCCAGTATAACTAACCATAATGATGGAAATATTCTATTGTTGTGCTGTACGATATTGGCTGTTGAGGCGTGAAATGCTGCTGTCATTTTGGAATTAAATGTTTTATATAATTTTAATAACTTTGTAAGACCAAATTAGTGTCTAAAAAGCCATCAATACTATCTTATATAAAAATTACTTCTCACTTGAGCTTTCCATGCTCTGGGATTAGGTCAGCAAATACAAAGCTAAAAACCACTGAGCAAGAAACAGCTTGCATTATTCTAAAAAGAGAAAATCTTTCAAGAAAAAAAACTGTACCATATTTATAAACATCAGAAGTTGGAGGCTTTGGAATTCACAGAAATAGACAAAGAGCATTATAAAACGTTAACTCTAGAAAACTCTTCTAGGTTTGTTTAATTCAACTGTTTAAAAAAATAAACTCTTGTAGTTTGTTTAATCACTAGCACACTCTCTTAAAGAAGAGTGCATAAATAATCAGTATTTGTTTGAGACATTAACAAATGGATTTCATTTGAAAAGACAGAAAAAATGGTTTTGTCAGGTCAATATATTAAGTTTACTCAGCAGATTTTAACTTAGTCAATTCTCTTAACTCAAAATCATATAGAACTAAAGCATACAAATTATTTTCAAAATTCCTATTTTATATACCTTGTACTTTGAACAATACTAACAGATATTAATGCATGTGAGCACTCAATTTTTATATATTTCTAAAAATTCATATAAAGCACATACATTTTTTTTTTGCTAATAGAAATAAATGGTGTATATAAGACCCAATTTCACCACTTTAGAACTTAAAAGATATGAAAACAACAAACTGAATAATAGTTTTCTTACATACCTGGACCCTTAGCAGGAGGTGGTGGTTTCTTTGGTTTCTATTAAAATAATAATGGTAAAATAATAATGGTAAAAACAGTTCAACACATACTAAATATAGTTAAAATAATTTCTGCTCACTAAAAATCAAAATTATATGAACATCTCTCTAACCCCTACCTGCTAAAAATTATAAAATCCTAACTCAACAAAATGTCACGGAAAAACTTTATTCTATTAGAATATCTCCTTGATCAAAATTCAAAAATTTCTAGCCCGGACGGGTATGGCTCAGCGGTTGAGCGTCGACCTAGGATCCAGGCGATTGGGGTTCGATTCCTGGTCAAGGCACATGCCCGGGTTGCGGGCTCCATTCCCAGTCAGGGGCGTGCAAGAGGCAGCCGATCAATGACTCTTCTATCATTGATGTTTCTATCTCTCTCTCTCCCTCTCCTTTCCTTTCTCTGAAATCAATAGATATATTAAAAATAAAATTTCTAAATTTATCAGTATTAGATAAACCTATAAATTCTTAATGATAAGCAAAAACATTCTGTTCTGCCTCCCGTAGTTTAAGATTTCTGTGCATCGTTTCACTGTGTCTAACAGCTGAGTTCGGTGGGGAGGGGTGGTAGGGAAAGGGAAAGAAGGAAATTCAGATTGTTTAAAAAAAAAAAAAAGAGCAACTAATAAATATATGTAGCTTTCATTCTTGACTTTTCAGAACTCCCAAAGAGAAGATTAAAGGCAAAGGTCTGTTTCCTCAATTTATTCATATTCTTTTAGATTTATAAGGATTCACTTACTACTTAAGACTTCATTTAATGAGTTAAAAAACTGGAGACACATTTTTAAGTATGTGAATTTGGTTTTTCCCAAATTAAAAATAACTAATAATCAATAATATATAAGGATCTAATAAAAGACCAAAAAAATGTGTTCATTTAGAAAAGTATAGGCCCTGGCTAGGCAGCTCAGTTGGTTAGAGCATCCTCTCTCTGCATATACCACGGTTTCAGGTTTCAGGTCAGGGCACATAAAAGAATCAACCAACAATTATCTTTCTCAAATCAATAAATGGGGGTGGGGGGAGTATAAAAATAAAGCAGACTGAAGGCTGAATCAACAGTGAACCAAATCCAGGGAAGGAAAGGCATCAGACAGTGTGAGCGTCCACAGAGTAACCTGATAATTCACTTAACTAAATGAAAGACTGAAAAAATTAAGAGATTTCTGTATTGCCCTAATTCAAATATGGTAGACTGTCTTGCTGTGTATATGCACTCTCACTCCCTTCCCCTCTACATATTTTTAAAACTCAATTAGATCCATTGCTCTATGGGGGAAAAAAGACATCAAGCTGCAAAAAAGCAAAAGGTTACTGATGAAACTCAAGATTCACTTTATTCACCGTGAGAAGTGAAACAGATACATTAAATCCATTAAGAAGGCAAAGTCCACTTCTTACCCTCCCAAACATGCACTGAAATAACAGTTAAGATCTACACTGCCTTATTTTCAACAAAATTAAATAAAAATATAATTTCTTCCAGGCAAGTGCTAATTTATCTAACTAGTATGGCCAACATTTTTTCTTATTTTTCCCCCCATTGCATGCAGTATTTTATTTTTTACAATTTATTAAGGACAACTGTTCCCATATTAGAAGGGGTGTGTGTGTGTGTTTGTGAGTGTATGTTTTTGTCTCTTTTATGCCTTTTTTAAATGTATCTTTATTGATTTCAGAGAGAGGAAGGGAGAGGGAGACAGAAACAGCAATGATGAGTCACTGATCGGCTGCCTCCTGCACACTCCCTACTGGGGATAAAGCCCAAACCCAGGCATGCGCCCTGACCGGGAATCAAACTATGATCTCCTGGATCCTAGGTCAATGCTCAACTGCTGAGCCATGCCGGCCAGGCTCTGCCTTTTTTTATTACAAGTTTTTAGTGTCGATATTATTGCAGGTGCTCCCTTTCTACTCTTTGCCCTCTTCTTCCTCCCCCTCCCTCCCTTAATTATAATAAAGTAATGAGTCAAAGGTTACTCCCCAGTATTATCAGTGGGGAAAGAAAACCACAAAAAAGCACAGAACTGAAATATTGTTTTGTTTTGACTATAATTCAAGTAAGTTACCCAAAGATATGAATCTAAAACACCCTCATAAAGTTATTCAGTAACAATGTAAAAACTCTGTTTTAAAATATATATATTGACAAAAGGTTCTTTAAACTATTATCATCATTGAAAAATAAAAGCTTACTGGAAAGTCCTTATCCAGTTCATTTATCTGAACGGCAAAGTTGTCTGGAAATACTCCTTCTTTACCATTCAGTTCACCCTTCCACCAGCCAGCTTCTCCAGTCTCCTAAAATGCAACATGAAGAATGATAAAGACAATAGGGGTTCTCTTTAAATATGGAAAAAATTACAGAAAACTTGAATTCCATGATTTTTACAAGGAAAAGAAAAAAAGCCTAAACAGATGAGGTCCTCCTAATAGAAAATATTCCTCGCATATTGCTTCTAGCAGTAGTTATAAAATTGGGTTTAATTTTAAGTAAATTAAGTAATATTTAATTTATAAGGATAAAAAGTTCTCTAAGAGGAGAAAGGAAAAAGAAAAGTGGGAGAGGAGGGTGAAGAGAAAATCTGAATTTCCAAACTGTAACTTCTAAACCTTCTACCCAACATTTTATATACTAAATATTATCCACATTACTGACTTGCTTTAGAAATTAACAAGCTCTTCAATTCCTTCCAAATGCCATCCTTCCATGATAAATTAGTCCAAACTGTACGAACATTCAAAATGGCACACAGTGAACCACCTGATTGTTAATTTAAAACAATGGAAAGAGCGTGGGCCAGTGTTGCACAGTGGTTAGAGCATCAGACTGTGCATGGGTCTTAGGTTCGATTTCTGGTCAAGGGCACATACCCTGGTTGCAGGTTCCCTCCCAGCCTCCAGCTGGGCAAGTGCAGAAGGCAACCAGTAGATGTGTTTCTCTTACATGGATGTTTCTCTCTCTTCCCC